TATTTTTTCTTTTCTTTTTGGTTTTTTGTGGCAGGGTCTTGCTTTGTAATTCAGGCTGGCCCCTACCTCATATGAGGCAATCTTCCTGCCTCGGCCTCCCTAGTGCTGGGATTAGAGGCATGTACCACCACTCTCATAAATATTATTTCTGCCTGGGATTTAGCACAGTGGTTCTACCACCTGCCTAGCCAGCACAAGGTCCTGAGTTCGATTCCTGGTACCAAAAAAAAAAAAAACTAGAAAATAAAAAAGCAAACAAAGTATTATTTCTGGTGGGCCACAGTTCATTTCTCTTAAGAAATCCACAGAACTGTATTGTGTACTGATGAGCCAGAGCTCTGAAGGGAAGTAGCTACTGAAGAAATTTAGCCTTTCCCTGGTTCTTACCTCTCCTTAGACGAGAATAGTCTTCAGGGAAGGGAGGAAGATTTTATCATCAAATTTGGGAAATGATATCTGCTTTGTTTACCCCTTATGATTTGTAATTTAAAAAGCACCTTAAAAGTTTCTAAGAATTCCTGCAGTAAATGCAGTAGACAGTGTTATGTACTGTAGTGTTTTTTAGACCTTATAACTCTGATTTGAGTAACCATTTAATATTCCTTGGAAAACATATTCCTCTGTTATAATGAAAATTAGATCATTGCTGCTTGCTTCTTTCCTTTCCTTTTTTGCTTTCTCTCTCCTTGCGCGCTCTCTCTCACATTTTCTCTCTCTCTCTCTCTCTCTCTCTCTCTCTCTCTCTCATGCAGGCTGGTCTTAAACTTGAAATTCTCTTGCCTCAGCTTTCTGTGTAGCTAAGATCACAGTGTGCACCACCACAGAACATTTTTTTTTTTTTTTTGAGGCAAGGTCTCACCATGTAGCCCAGGCTGGCTTTAAACTCAGTATGTAATGCACACTAGCCTCAAACTCATGGAAGTCCTTCTGCCTGAGCATTCCAAGTCCTGGGATTACAGGTGTGCAACACTGCACCTGGCTGAACATTGTTTTTGATATATTTTAATATCAAAACTTTGAGTAAAGGGCCGGGGATTTAGCTCAGTGGCACTGCGCCTGCCTTGTAAGTGCAAGATCCTGAGTTCAATCCCCAGTACCAAAAAAAGCAAAATAAAACAAAACCTTGTGTAAAATATGGATATTCTGGGGCCTGAAAAAGCATGAAGTTATCTAGAAAAGCAAGTTGTTATACTTTCTTCCTCTGTAATTCTGCCACTAAAGCATTAATGTCTCTTTTTTTTGTACTGGGGATTGAACTCCGGACCTTGTACTTGCAAAGGAGGCGGCAGAACCACTGAGCTAAATCCCTGGCCCAATGTCTTCTTAATATATGGCCCTCAGGATAATTTTGGAGCAGCGTATCATTATGGAAAATGCTGTATAGTGGTAATTGTTGTTAAAGCTTTTATTGTTTTGTTTTCTTCTTTTAGGTGGGAATTTTGTTTTTCGTGGCTATTTCACAAGAAATGTTTGGAACAGTACTAAGCATTTCTGGGAAATGGGTGCAAAATATTAAGGATAATTTGTTGTAAACTGGTTTCATTTAGAAACTGGGAGAGTTTTATTACTGAAAAAGGGTCCCATTACTTAGAGAACAATTGGTCCTTCCCCCGTCCTATTTGAGAGACTAGGAGAAGCAACTCTTAGGACCTTCAGTACTCAGGTGAACAAGGTCAACCCTTTACTTAGTGGATACCCTTTTTTTGGGAATCCGCACTTTTAAAAACATTTAGCTTTGCTGCCAAAAAATGTCACAGATGTTGAATTTCTGAGCTGCACTACTAATGGAACAAACACTGGCGCTATAGATATATATATTCTTTTTTTGTTTGTTTTTTTTTTGTTTTTGTTTTTTTTTTAGTACTGTGGATCGAACTCGGGTCCTTGCGCTTGTGAGGCAGGCACCAGAACCACTGAGCTAAAGCCCTGGCCCAGCAAAATATATTTGATAATAATCACCTTTTCAAATTTATTTTATTACTCCTTCCTAGTAATATCATTAATTTTCATAACTCCTTCCTAGTAATCTCATTAATTTTCATAATATCCCTGTTACATAGTTAAGATGAAAAACTTAGATCTTAGATTTGGGAGCTAAGGCATAAACTTAAGTAACTTGCCTTAATTCATAAGGCTTTTTAATTTTAATTATGAAATCAAATCTGGAATCAGATCTCTTATCTTCCCAAACAAGTGCTTTTCTTTTTTTAACAGCATTAAATCATGTTTGTTTTGATGTTCTAAATTAAAATTTCAAAGAAGTGCTTGACTTTGTATGAAAGTTTCATGACTTAAATATCTCAGTAATCAGAAAAGAATAGTGGTTTTTCCTGCTAGGTAATACCATTTATATTTTTAAAATTATTTTTAGACTTTTACTGTTTCATTTTAGCAAATTCATATATGCACATAACATTTTGATCATTTTTACCCTCCCTTATCATCCCCTTACCCCATCCTCCTCCATGTTTTCTTTTTCTTTTTGGGGGCCGGATACCAGGGATCAAACTCGGGACCTTGTGCTTGCAAGGCAGGCGGCAGAACCACTGAGCTAAATCTCCAGCCCTCTGTTTTTCTTTTTTGTATTTTTGAGACAGGGTCTCATTGTGTAATACAGGCTGGCCTTGAACTCTGTATGCAGCCCATGCTGGCCTCCTGCGTCAGCCTCCCAAGCTCTGCGATTACAGGTGTGTGTCATGATACCCAGCTTCCCTAAAGATGAGACAAATGAAGTTTAGAAAGATTCTTATTAAGGGGTTGGGGATTTAGCTCAGTGATTCTGGCACCTGCCTCGCAAGTGCAAGGGCCCGAGTTCTATCCTGGTACAAAAAAAAAAATCAAAATAAAGAAATATTGTTACTAAGTATTGTGTAATTTGGAAATGAAAGCTATGTGACTAAAACTTTTTTTAGTTAACATTTCCCTGATAAACTAGGCTACTGGTAGAGTTTTATCTTTGATCCCAGTAAGTGTATGTTGAATGGGACTCAGTCTATTCTGAGTCCGTAGTCCTGTTGTAGTAAGGATAAGTTTTCAGTTTTGTTTATTTAAAAAATTTTTTTCATTATTTAAAGACAGGATCTCTCTGTGTTGTTCAGGCTGGCCTTAATCCTTCTGCCTTAGCCTCCTGAGTGCTAGGATTACACACCTGTAATCCCAGGTAGTTTTCAGATTTTAGAGGATATCAGACCTTTCTTCTAGAAAGATTCAAGTTATAAACCAGGATTTCACTAGGCCGTTTTGTTGAATGACTTGCATTCAATGTCTTCTTGGGGTCTAGGTAATAGGTCTTGAAAAGATTACTGATCTTATTTCTTATAAGAATCAAGGGAAAAGTTAGGACTGCGACTGCATTTCAGTAGTAGAACCAAGGCATGGGGTCATCTGAGCAAGAATTCGCCTTTGGTGGGAGCTGGGATCAATCTACTTGGACTGTTACATTGTTTTTAGGGCTAGGATGGAAGTTACACATTATTTTTTAGGTTGGCCCAGTGAGCTGAGAATGAGAGCGCACCAGAAATTAGAAACCAGGAAATACAAATCATAGTCAGTTTATTGATCTGATTAAGTAGAACAGTTATTGAGTCCCTTTTCATCCATTGCTTATTTATTTAGCAAGAGTTCTTTGAAATTCAAATAATATATCACTAGCTCAGAGAATGTGAGAACTACAGAGGGCACATTCAAATTAACTCTTTACATTTAAGAAAATGACATTTCATCTAGATTGCATGAGAGGAAGCATGGGATAGCAGTCCTTAAACTTTAGTGAGGATCAGAATTGCCTGAGGGCTTACTAAACAATTTGCCAAGACCTATTCCTGAAGTTTCTGTTGTAGTGATGGGGCTGGCACCTAAGATTTTTGGATTTCTAACAAGTTTCTGGGTTGATGCTGATGATCCTGGATGGAGTACTGATTTAGAAGAGGTTATGTTCTTCCTAATTAACATTTTCATATATAGGAAAAGGGGGTGAACATCTAACTACCCCTTCAAGTACCTGTACCATACCATCTGCAATCATAAATTTTAATTTAACCCTTTAAACCGTTATGCAAAGTGATCCTCACTTCTATTCCTCCATCATACACCCTTCTGAAACATGCTGAAGTAATTCTTCACAATCTCTACTTATAACTCAAAGAATAATGTTGGTATATATACTATTTAAATAACGATTTTATTTAACGTAGAGGACGTATTAAATTCTTTTTTTCTTTCTTTCTTTCTTGCTTTTTTTTTTTGATTTTTGAGACAGGGTCTCAATATGTTGTTGAGATTGACCTGGAACCCATTATGTAGCCCAGGCTGGTCTCGAACTCACAGTGATCCTCCTGCCTCAGCCTTCGGAGTGTTGCGATTACAGGCATACGTCATCACACCCAGCTTTAATTTCTTGTATTATGTAATTATTGCTGATCTTATAAATTTATGAAAGAAAATGTAGATTAATTTAGCACTAATAACTACATAATAGATAGAATTAATATTGAGATATGTTTCCTCATAAGGAACATAAAGTAAAAGGTTAAGTATAATACATGTTTCAAATCACAGGAAATATGAGGGTATGCTAATTTGGTTGGGTGATTTTCAAAAATGTTAAACAGTTGGTTATTGACCAACCCTGTTTTAGGAGCAAACTAGTGAAGAAATGGTGAATTTCAGAATAGTTGGTACTAAGACATGATTAAATTTTTGTTTGTTTTTTGTTTTTTTGGTTTTTTTGAGACAGGGTCTCACTATGTAGTTGAGATTGGCCTGGAACTCACTGTGTAGTCTAGGCTGGTCTCAAACTCACAGTGATCCTCCTGCCTCAGCCTCTCAAGTGCTGGGATTACAGACACACGCCACCAAGCCTGGCCGACATGATTAAATTTTTGAAAGTATAACCCATAAGACTTAATGTTTAGTGTACAGTGTTCTTTGCTAATATTATTTTTGAAAGGTTAACTTGTTTGCAGTGAAGCTCAGTGAAATTACTCTGTGTTGTTTGACAGAATTGCACAGAATTATTAAAAAGAAAAAAGCAGTGATCCAGTCAGTTGAATTGAAGGATTCTGGGGAAACCTACTATTTACTGTGAAAATCATCTTGGAATTAAAAGTAAAGCTGGAAAGGAATTTGCAAACGAGAAAAAAAGAAGTTTGGAATTGGACACAAAGGCTCTGGGCTTGGAAATGCCTCAGGTAAATTATACAGAGTAGATGCAAAGTTTTTTTTTTCTTTTTTTTCCTGTGTAGAAAGTCAATACCATTGATTTTGTAAATTCTCTGAGTCAACACAACTTGACATATTACTCTTGTTTCTGATCTCAACTAGCTTCGAACACATGTCCTTTCTTCTATTGCCTTTACTTATTTTTTTGGTTGTCTTTTTTTTTTTTTTTTTTTTTTTTTTTTTTTTTTTTTTTTTTTTTTTTTTTTTTTTTTTTTTTTTTTTTTTTTTTTTTTTTTTTTGGTACAGGGGATTGAACTCTGGACCTTGTGCTTGCGAGGCAGGCTGTGGAACTACTGAGCTAAATCCCTGGCCTTTTTTTGGGGGGGTGGTTCTCTATGCACTTCAGGCTGGCTTTGAACTCACTGTGTTGCCCAGATTGGCCTCGAACTTGCATTGATCCTCCTGCTTCAGCCTTGCAAGGGCTGGGATTACAAGCACGTGCTTCTAGGTCTGGCGCCTTTACTAGTATTTTGTGTTTGTAACAGCAATTTTAACTTTGATGAATTTGATATGGCAAGCACAGTGAATAGGTTAGAAGGTGGGTAGATCTGCTACCTTTATGGGGGTTAAACAAATTTCCCTGAAAATTAGTCTGCCCATAGTAGCCCCTTTTCTATCTCCTCTAACTTATTTCCTACTCTTTCTTCTGTTTATGACAGTTTAAAATAGGTGTCTAGCTGAGACAGTTGGAAACTAATGTCAACCTGCCTTTATATTCTGAGTTGCCTCTCTCAAGCCAGGACAGAGCCTGGTGATAACAAATCTTGCCTGGGTTTTCAGGCACTGATCAACTCCCAGATATAAGAAACTGGACCTTGGGGTTGGTCCCTGGGACTAACCAGGTGCTCACCATAATCATTAGCTCAAAAATGCATCTGTTATCTGTACCTGGCTGTGGGCAGCACTGGTTTAGAAGTAAAAGGAAACAGTAGGGGACTTTAGCCTCACCTCATCTGTGTCCCATATAGCACGCACACACACACACACACACACACACACACAGAGCCTGAAAAACATGTCTAGGAATGATTATAGTACAGCATCTACTTTGGATAGATCATTTTGGGTTGGAGATGGTAACTGAAACAATAAATATTAGTTCACATTCTGCTTATCCAAGCTACTTCTCTTCCCCTTCTAGCAGTTAGCTTGTAACCCTGACCAATGTTTGTTTTAGTGTGTGGGGAAACAGAAATAATGAGTTGGCAGAGACTCTTAAGAGGGGTCTTATTTGGGGCCATATAGAACTATCCCTTGAGCACAGGGAATCAGCAGTTGTTGATACTGTCTGGGGAATCGGGGCAGCAGGCAGCAGAAACAAAGAGGAGATGCTAGCAGATACTAAAGACAGCAGAGGGGCCAGGGACTTAGCTCAGTGGCGCCGTGCCTACCTGGCAAGCACATATCCTGAGTTTGATCCCCAGTACCAAAAAATAATTTTTTTTTTAAAAGAGAGAAGAACTCATAATGCTTGTGCCAAGTAGATTGCATATCACCTTTTAGACGTCTTGTCCAAACAAGATTTCGTTTGCTGATTATTAAATACTTGAATTTAGGATTATACGACTTTTTTTCTCAAGCTAAGGTACTATACGCTTGGTAGGGCTAGGGAAAATATAAGAAAAAAAGAGATGGAATGGAAAGTACCATATGAAAAGCTTTGCTTCTGGTAAGTAGAAGGTATATGAATAGACAAGTATAATAAGCAAATGATAACATTTTTAAAAATTTCTGCAGAAAATTACAGAAGAAAAACGGCAGAGAGAAAAAATACTCTTTTTCATCCTCATCCCTCATTGGAGGTAGATTTCAAATTGAGGCCTTTCTATTATTTGAGCTACTATAGGAGTATGAGCCCTAACTTTGGAGTGATTTGGATAGATACTGAAATATTAAAAAGGCTAAAAAGAAAAAAAGGAGAAATTAACTGTGAGAGCTAAAGCTTTTGTTGTTGTTGTTATTGTTTTTTGAGTTAAGGTCTCACTGTGTAGTTCAGGTTAGATTTAAACTGGGATTACAGGTATGCACCACCACTCCAGGCCTAGTTCAGTCTTGTCCCCCTCCTCTCTCCCTCTCTCTTTCTGTCTTTCTGTCTTTCCCTTTCTTTCTCCCTCTCCCTCCCTTCTTCTTGCCCTCCCCCCTTTCTTTCTTTCTTATTATAAAATGAACTGGACCCTTTTCATGGATCAGGATGGAGACTCGTTGCTCATGTCTATGTTTCTGGGGTCATATTTCAGGAGATTTGGGGGGAATTTTGTTGATCCTCTTTTGGACTGAAGATATCCAAATTGTCTTCCAGTTTCTTTTGGGAAATAGGACAAACACATTTAGGAGTACAGAGTGAGACCCCTGCAGAGAGCAAGAAATAGCAGGAAAGTCTCTGCTTGAGGTGGAAATTAGAATTAGAGTATGTTATTAGAGATGGATTTGGAAAAAATGTTGCATGACTAAATAAAAGTACTCAGATATTATATGCTAATTCTGGTGGCTAAATAAACTTTAGCATTTTTGGAAGTTAGCTATTTTTTTCTGTTTGTTTTTTTCCAGTACCAGAGATCAAACTCAGGACCTTGTGCTTGCAAGGCAGGTGCCTTGGCACCACTGAGCTAAATCCCTGGCCCATACTCTCATTTATTGGGATTTTTTTTTATGGTTATGCCTATGGAATTTTTTTTCCTTTTCTTCTTTTTGGTACCTGGGATCAAACTCAGGACTTTGCACTTGCGAGGCAGGCATGGTGCCACTGAGCTAAATCCCTGGCCCTGAAGTTGGCTATTTTTAACAGTTACTACTCCTTTTTTTTCCCTGTTCCTAATGTATCTTAGGTTTTTTCCTCATCTAAGTCCAGAGTTTAATGCTAGTTGAAACTCTTTTGTTTTGATTTGTTTTGTTTTTTTGGTACCAGGAATTGAACTCAGGTCCTTGGCTAGATGAAACTCTTTAAGTGTACTATACAGTACAAAAACACAGAATTATCTTTGAAAATAAATTATTTTCAGATAAAGTGTAATAAATTGGTCTTGAAGTGGTCTTTAACTTTGTAAAATGAAAATCACTCTGTTGTAGCCTAGTGTAAGCGGAATGGATCCGCCTTTTGGGGATGCCTTTCGAAGCCACACCTTTTCAGAACAGACTCTGATGAGCACAGATCTCTTAGCAAACAGTTCCGATCCAGATTTCATGTACGAACTGGTAAGCAACATTTTCTTGGTTTTAGCTTTGATTGATTTGGGTTAAAAGTGTTGTAGTATAGTTCTTAAATCTGTAAATGTTCAAAAAGGAAAAAGATTTGTTTGGGCCAGGTTTGATTCTTGTAAGTATAGGCCTAGTAATTTTAGAAGGATATATGGACACATCAAAGATACTAAGGGGCCGGGGATTTAGCTCAGTGGTTCTACCGCCTGCCTTGCAAGCTCAAGGACCTGTGTTCGATCCCTGGTACCAAAAAAAAAAAAAAACAAAAACTAAGAAAAAAGATTATCTAAGTATCTTGAAGTCCAGGTTTTCATGAGAAGAAGAAAAGAAATTTTTTTTAATGTTGAGCCAAGGGTTAGGAATTTGTTTCAGTGGTTCCACTGCCTACCTTGCAAGCACAAGGGCTGGAGTTCGATCCCCAGTACCCAAAAAAAAAAAAAAAAAAAATTGCTGAGCCAAGCATGGCGGTACATGCCTATAATTCTAGCACTTGAAAATCTGAAGCTGGAGGATTGCCACAAGTTTGAGGCCAGCATGAACTGCATAGCAAGACCCTGCTTCTAAAATCAACTAACCAACAAGTTTGAGGCCAGCCTGAACTGCATAGCAAGACCATGCTTCTAAAATCAACTAACCAAACATTAGGAATACTTGACTTCCCATATGCAAGATTTGTTAAAAGGTCTTCCAAAAAATCTTTTCTATGGTTGAGTTTAGTTCTCAGTTGTTCTTTGCCTCTTTTTAAGTTCCTGCTTAAAAAGATACATCTTTTTTATAATAAAGGTAAGGCCATTAATTGTTTTTTGTTTTTTGTTTTTCCTGAAACAGGGCCTCATCATGTTGCCCACACTGGCCTGTGGCAGGCGGTCCTGCTTCAGCCTGAGTATCATTATCATTATTTGTTGCTTTTTTGTATGTGTGGTACTAGGGATTAAACCCAGAGTAAATGCTCCATCACTAAGCTGCCTCTCCAACCCCCTTTCTCTTTTTTGAGACAAGGTCTAGCTGTGTAGACCAGGCTTGATTTAAACTGACAACCTCTTGCCTCAGCCTCCCAAGCACTGGGAATTGAGGTTTATGCTACATACCTGGCTCCAGATGTTTTAAAAATTACTTTAATTATCAGACAAGATCTTGATAAGGTGCCAAGGTTGGCCTTGAACTTTAGATCCTTCTGCTTCAGTTTCCCATGTAGCTTGGATTACAAGCATGTACATCACACCCAATTGAAGCTTATTTTAAAGGTCCTCAAATGCTCCTAATACCAAGAAGCATAAACTTACTTCAGGAAGAATGTTTATGGTAAAGTTTAAGAGCTCAACATTTGGGCCATACTCAAACCTCTCAAGGAACATTATTTTCCCTCTTTTTTTTTTTGTTGTTGTTGCCATTGTTGTTGCCAAGTAAATGATGAAGTATATGGAATAGTACTGTGTCATGTCAGTAGCCTTTATCTTAGAACAGACTAGAGGTCGGACATATGCAAGTGAGGTTGGAGGCAGATATTTGCTTCCTAAAATATGGTGTGTGATATCTTTTTTTAAACTTTTCTTAGGATAGAGAGATGAACTACCAACAGAATCCTAGAGACAACTTCCTTTCTTTGGAGGACTGCAAAGACATTGAAAATCTGGAGTCTTACACAGATGTCCTGGATAATGAGGGTGCTTTAACCTCAAACTGGGAACAGTGGGATACATACTGTGAAGACTTAACCAAGTACACCAAACTAACCAGCTGTGACATCTGGGGAACAAAAGAAGTGGATTACTTGGGTCTTGATGACTTTTCTAGCCCTTACCAAGATGAAGAGGTCATAAGTAAAACTCCAACTTTGGCTCAGCTTAATAGTGAGGACTCTCAGTCTGTTTCTGATTCTCTTTATTATCCTGATTCACTTTTCAGTGTCAAACAAAATCCCTTGCCCTCTTCATTCCCTGGTAAAAAGATCACAAATAGAGCAGCTGCCCCTGTGTGCTCTTCAAAGACTCTTCAGGCTGAGATTCCTTTGTCAGACTGTGTCCAAAAAGCACATAAACCCACTTCAAGCACACAAATCATGGTGAAAGCCAACATGTATCACAATGAAAAGGTGAACTTTCATGTTGAATGTAAGGACTATGTAAAAAAGGCGAAAGTAAAGATCAGCTCAGTGCAACAGAGCCGGCCCTTGCTGAGCCAGGCTCATACGGATGCAGCAAAGGAGAACACATGCTACTGTGGAGCTGTAGCAAAGAGACAAGAGAAAAAGGGAATGGAGCCTCTTCAGGGTCGTGCCACTCCCACTTTGCCTTTCAAAGAAACCCAGGAACTGTTACTCAGTCCCCTACCCCAGGAGGGTTCTGGGTCAGTTGCTGTAGGAGAGAGTAGCAACCTTTCTACTAGCATGTCAGTCTCAGATTCATCCCAGAAAAAAGAAGAGCACAATTACTCTCTTTTTGTCTCTGATAACTTGGGAGGACAGCCAACCAAAGGCAATCCTGAAGAAGATGAGGAGGATGAGGAGGATGTTGATGATGAGGACCACGATGAAGGGTTTGGAAGTGAGCATGAACTCTCTGAAAACGAGGAGGAGGAAGAGGAGGAGGATTATGAAGATGACAAAGATGATGATATTAGTGACACATTTTCTGAACCAGGTATTATAATGCTTGGAGGCTTACTAAACTGACCTGTTGCTGTTTTGAAATAGGAAGTTTTGTTTTGACGATTGCTTTATTTTAGTGGAGGGATTAAATGACTTAATAGCTTGACTTAAATATGTAACACCCTTTTTCTATTCAAGCCGCTCTAAAATGATCACTTTTGCTCACGTAGTAGTCTCTATGCTGGCTCCCTGAGAGCTTATTTTGTCTTAGGTTAAATGACCTGATGGATCATCTCTTGAGCAGTTGTACAAAGATGCCAAGACTCTTGCCTTAAAATGTATTCCAGTTTATAACATGCCCCTCTGTTATGGCTGAGACAAATTAGGAGTATCTAAGATGGTTAACATTATTCATGCCTATAACAAAGTCAACTTAATGAATAATGTAAAACAAGCATTTTGTTTGTATGTGCTGCATTTCATTTTCACACTATTTGTTTAAGAAAAATACATGTTAGAATTTGAAAAGCATGAAGGGATTCTAGTATATGTAGTGTGCATAAGTAAAAAGGTGAACGAAAAATGAAACCTGTGGGAAATGTGTTCACTTCAGCCCATATATGCTTGGGCTGTTGCCACTAGTTGGCTGGTATGGTTTATGAAAATGGTATTGCCAGTGGCATGGAAATAAAAATGCACAAAGAAGTGAAGATCTTCAAATTTAAGCAAAAATGACTTGCTTCAAAAGTATTAATACTAGTAGTCTGTGTCAAACTGGATTGTTTTAAAATAAACTTTATAAATTATCAAAAAGAGTGCTCACTTCGGCAGCACATATACTATAAATTATCAAAAAGAGCCCCTTTCAGTTGTGGTGTTGAAAATTGAACCCCGGGCCTTCCCATTGAGTTATATCCCCAGCCCTTTTTATTTTTTGATAGTCTTGCTGAGTTGCTCAGGCTGGACTCAAACTTGGGATTCTCCTGCTTCAGCCTCTTAGAGGGCTGGCATTACAGGTGTGTACACTGCACTTGCTTAAAAGAGAGCCCTTTTGTTTCATTGATTGCTAGGGTTTCAGGCAGTCTAATATTGATATTTAATTTTCTGGAAGTTTTTTAAGGTATATTATAGCCTGTGAAGCACTATTATTGCTTAAAGACTTTTTACTTTTGGTTAAGCCTTTCTCACGAAAGTGCTTAGATTTATGCAGTTGATAGAAATAAGTTTCTTGATTTGGAGTTTTAAGTATGGAAAATGAAGATACTTTAATGTTGATGAAGAGGACATATGCCCTTTGGTTTGCTGTGGAACTCTGAATAGTTTAGATAGAGTAGTTGTCTTTTGTACTGATAAGAAAGTTCTTTTCTTGGCACATTCTTAAAATCTGCATTGAAAGTTTTTTTAAAAAAACCCTGTCTTGCTGCCTCACAAGCGCAAGGTCTGGAGTTGGGTCCCTGATACCAAAAAAAGAGAAAACTTGTCTTGGTAACAAGGGGTGGTTTGTATAGCTCCTTTCCCATGGAAGGTCATAATGCTGTCTGTGTGTGGTCCTTAAAATCTAGATCAGTCCTATTTGTTTGTTTGTTTGTTTGTTTGTTTGTTTTGAGATGGGGTCTGTTGTGTAAGCTGGACTTGAACTTGGGGGTTCAAATGATCCTCTTTGCCTCAGCCTCCAGAGGAGCTGGAACTACAGGTAAATGCTCCTGTGCCTGGACAGTCCTATTAATTTGTCTCCTATTTAGGATTAGGGTAGATGGGCAGGGGAAGAGGAGACAAAGAAAAGATAGGAAATATTTACAAGCTTGTACCTATCCCACCATCACCAAGGCAAGCAAAGACCATACCGTTTACTCCACTTTAAAAATTCTTGTCAATAGCTGGGCGTGGTGGCACATGCCTGTAATCCCGGCACTTGGGAGGCTGAGGCCGGAAGATCACTGTGAGTTTGAGATCAGCCTGGGCTACATAGTGAGTTCCAGGTCAGTCTCAACTACATAGTGAGACCCTGTCTCAAAAAAAAAAAAAAAAAAAAAAATTCTTGTCAGTGATTGTGGTGGCATGTGCTTGTAATCTCAGCACTTTAGAGACTGAGGCAGGATCACCATGAGTTTGAGGCCAACCTGAACTACATGGTAAGACTTTGTGTTCAATATACTTAAGATTCTTTGAATTTCACAGATTTGGATGCTTGTTTCCTTTTCCAGTCATTTTTTAAAATGAACTTTCTACTCCATTTTCTTCTTCTGTTCCATCTGGTATTTCTATAATGTTTCACTTGATGGTATCTCTTCAGTGTGCTAGCCTTTCTTTATTTGATCTTTTGCATTCTTATTTCTTGTTCTTCGATTGAGTAATTTCAAATAACTGGCCTTTAAGTTTGCTGATTTGTTTTCTCCTTGATTAAGTCTATTGAAATGCTCTGGAAGGAGAGGTTTTCAAGTTTAAGTAACTTCTTCAGCTGCAAAATTTCTGCTTATTTTCTTTTTTATAGTTTCTGTCTGTTGAATTCTCATTTTGTTCATGTATCATTTTCTTGATTTTGTTTAGTTATCTGTGTTCTTTTATAATTTATTAAATTTCTGTAAGATTATTATTTTTAATACCATGTCAGGTATTTCTTAGATTCCCATTTATTTTGGGTCAGTTACTGGTGCTTTATTTTTATTCGTTGAAAATGTATGTGTCTCATCTAGTATTTACAGACTGACTTTGCCACAGAAAACCCTTCATGCTGGGCATGGTGGTGCACACCTATAAACCCAGGACTTGGGAGGCTGAGGCAGGAGGATCACTGTGAGTTTGAGACCAGCCTGGGGTACATAGTGAGTTCCAGGTCAGTCTCAACTACATAGTGAGATCCTGCCTCAAAAAAAAAAAAACAAAAAAAAACACACACACACAAAAACAAAAAAAACCCTTCATTAAGCCTATGCAGAGATTCACAGCAAGCTAGCTAGAGGAGTCCATATGCAGGCTTGTTGCTATAGGCATGGAATGTTATGGCCTTTTGCCTGAATCATTGGGCAGTTGAGCCTGGTGCCTAGGACCATAGGGGCTGTCCTGGTGCCTGGGTCTAGCCTGAAATCTGGGTTCATAGGACCACACCTGACATGGCTGAGCATGGGCCCTGGATCTACAGAGACCATGCTGGGGTTTAGAACCTAGTGCTGTGCCATTACCTTCTGGATTCTCAGGAAATGTCTTGGAACATGGGGCTGATTTTTCTTTTGACTTTAATTTGTCATTTTTCAGGGTCTTTTTGTGTAGTCCAGGCTGGCTTTTAACATGTTCCTACAAGCTTGAACCACTGGTGGTACAATGCATGACTGTTCCTCATGCGGCTTGTATCACTGATGGTACAAATAAATCTAATCACTTTTATCAGTCTTTTTACTGATAAAATTAATAAAATGGGACTGTCATGCATGTACCACAAGTTGTTTCAAGCTACCTGGCAGCAAGACATATGAGTTATGGTCCTAATGTGAATGTGTGAACTCACTGTGTTGCCCAGGGTAGCCTTGAACTTGCAGTTCTCAGCTTCCCAAGTGCTGCAACTAAGGACATGCACCACTATGCCTGGTCTTTTATTTTAATTTTAACTCCACTTAAAATTCATCCTTGGTCATTTCATTTGATTCTTTGTGGATATATGTGTGAGAGAAGAGGTCCATGAAAGTCACATAATAAATTGACCCCTGCTGGGTGTGGTAGTGCACGCCTGTAATACCAGCACTCTGGAGGTTGAGGCAGAAGGATCACTATGAGTTCGAGACCAGCCTGGGCTACATAGTGAGTTCCAGGTCATTCTCAACTACATAGTGAGACCCTGTCTCAAAAAACAAAAAAACAAAAAATAAAAATAAGTATAAATATATAAATTGACCTCTTATTTCCGTGGGTTTTTTTTAGCCTTTTGACTCATACAGGGAAGGGGAATAATTTTCATAGTTGGCCTTGTCCTGTCATGCCACATCCTCTTCCCATGTCCTTTGTAGAGTAACCCTTGTTTGTGAGCTGTTGTTCTTTAGCAACCGGCCAGTGGCTTTAACATTATTAGCTGGCACTTAGAAGGGTCAGGTTCTCTTCTTGTACCTATTTAATAATATTGAACGTTTGCATAGCATTTCATTTCATTCACTTCCAAATGACTTGAAATAAACCCTTTTGATTAGTATTACTTGGACAGTTCACGAACGTTAATGTTAATGACTATAAAATTAACACAATTTTATGGTATTATTTGGGCTATAAAATTAACACAAGTTTATGGTATTATTTGGGCTTTATTTAAATTTGCAAATAAAATTTCCCTTTTTCTTGAAGAGCTAAACAAGCATTTCAGGAATGTAAAAGTGAATTATTTGTTAGAAATAGTGAAAAAAATCTTAGATTGCAGAAAGAAAAGTAAGGATAGATCCTGCAGAGTGCTAGTTTTAGGGTAGGTGATTGGTTTAATTTGTAGCTGATGGTTTACAAGGGCTCTTTTGTAGTGACTGGCTCCCTTGATGCTGTTTCTTGGCAGATGGCTGCAACAGTTCATAAGCCTACAAAGTTCCAGGAAAGGTGCAAAATAGAGGTTCAGTCCCTATTCTGGACTGACTGCCAAAGTTTAATAGAGCCTATTCTGTGGATTAGCTACAACTGTTTGGGTTGTGAAATTACGTGGTTCTAAGACCAAAATTTGGGTGCCTAGAATGAGTTTATTTTTAATCCCCACTAAGCCTTTGCACAGTTGACTTTACCAGCTTAATGGCAGTAGTCTGCACTAACCAGTGATTGGATTTTTTTTTTTTGTACAAGGGATTGAACTTGGGCCCTTGTGCTTGCAAGGAAAGCAGTGTGTGATTGGAATTTGAGGCAGTAAATATGATCTTTTTTTACCTCCTTTTGATAATTATTATCAGAAAGGAATGAGTTTAATCATTATAGTGATATATCAGAAAAAAAAAAGAAGGAAAAGAGTCCATGGAAAATGTTGCATTAATTTCAATTTAGAAAAAACAGTGCAGATTGCTGCCAGAATTCACATAATTTTCTGCAACTATGAATTATATTTTGTAAATGGAGGGGCCGGGGATTTAGCTCAGTGGTTCCGCTGCCTGCCTCGCAAGCACAAGGTCCCAAGTTTGATCCCCGGTTCCATAAAAAAAAAGCCTATATTTTGTAAATGGAAATACCACTACTCAAATGAGAATGACATACAAATAGAATGTTACCTTTTGTTTCCAAAGACTATTGATATACCAGAGCAAAGTAAAAATAATAATAAAAGCAAGACATTTCATGGCAAACTTTGGGAGTAAGGTTAAGAATATTATCTGTGAGTTATACACTTAGTGCTTGGACTAAGCACTGCAGCCACAAGTGCTGCTGACCAAGTATTTTGTGGGAAATGGCTTAAAATATTTAAAAAGTTTTTCAGTGTCTGCTTTTGTGTCAGGCACTGTTGGGTATTAGCTATATAGAGAGGAATGGTTTTTTTTTTTGGTTTTTTGGTTTTTTTGGTTTTTTGAGACAGGGTCTCACTATGTAGTTGAGACTGACCTAGAACTCACTATGTAGCCCAGGCTGGTCTCGAACTCACAGTGATCCTCTTGACTCAGCCTCCTGAGTGCTGGGATTACAGGTGAGAGCCACCATGCCCGGCTTGTTTTTGTTTTGAGTTAGGGTCTCACTATTAGTTCAGGCTGGCCTTCAACTCACTATGTAGCTTCGGTTGGCCTCAAATTCATGGCAATCCTCCTGCTTCCACCAGCAATGGATTTATTGACAGTTATAACTTCTCAGCCTTCTTTTGGGGGGAGTTGGTTTTTTTGGGACAGGATCTCACTGTGTAGTTCAGGCTGGCCTCACACAGTGATTCTCCTGCCTCAACCATGAATGGGTTTATTAACAGTTACAATTTCTCAGTCTTTTTTTTTTTTTTCATTGTCAGGGATGGAACCCGTGGCCTCAACTTGCCAAGCAAGTGCTCTGTTACTGAGCTATACACCCAACCCATTTCAGTCTTACATGCTTTTTTGCCCTGTAATTTGTCAAGAGACAGCTATAGGATCAGAGTTCTTAAAAGTTACTGGCCCGGGGATTTAGCTCAGTGGTGTTGGACCTGCCTTGCAAGCGCAAGGTCTGGAGGAGTTCGATCCCTGGTGCCAAAATAAAAAAAGGTATTTGATCACAGTATTTGCTTGATTGTGAAGCTTTATCTTATGATAATAGCGTTCCTTAGAACACACTTTGAAAAATATTTAATGCCCCTAAATAGCCTTAGAACAGTGATCCGGGAATGTAGTCTCTCTATATTCTACTTAATCACTATATTCTCTGTATTGAATAATGAGTGGCTTTAGGCAACAAATCCTCTGTGTGTGTCACAGAGAGAAAGAAAGGAGACAGGGAGGGAGAGATGGTGAATTTATGATGTATGCATCTAGAAAATGTTAATAAGTTAAAGAAAACATAGTCCTTAACTATTTATTTGGGAAAGACATATATGTAAGTAAATGAAACTAGTAGTCAAATTGGGTGAGACAAAAGAAATAAAATTTTTCACGAGTCCTTGAATTTAACATGGAAAATGTGTGAGTAAAATCCAATCAGGCCATTTAAGAAGGTAGGCATGGGAAAAGTGGGAAGTCCACTTGGAGCTAGAATCTTGAGTCACTGTGGCCTGATTCAGTACCAGCTGCACCAGGTCATGTCAGTCCACCATGAGTATGCTCATTTGCTCAACTGGGGTTAATAATTTCTTCCTCACCAGGTTCTTAGATGTCAAATGATATACAATACATGAAGTGAGGGGCGTGGTGTTTTGTTTGAGGAGAGGCAAAGGTAAATGTTAGTAGCTAAAGGAACATAAAATATCCAGGGGAATATGTTGCCTGAGGAACCTGTTTAAAATTTTTTCCTTGTGGTTTGGGCTGGGGTAGACTAGTAGTACAGCAGTGTAGTCATTGAACGGAAGGTGAGACTGTTTTGGTTGTGCATTAGCCTGTGTTGAGATGTTTCTAGTTCAAACTAGGGTTATCTCTGTGAGCCAGTAAGATTTGCTTAGATTAGTGTGGATCCAACGGTCTTTTTTAAAAGATCATTTCTGGTGACAGAGTATGTCCCTTGTACCTTTTCCAAACCTGGGTAGATAACTGGAACAAGATGAAATTCTTTGAGATGAAACATAAACACAACAGGTCAAAAGCTATTGCTTTATTCCATGCCTGTAATCCCAGCACTTGAGAGGCTGAGGCTGGGGGATTGCCATGAGTTCAAGGCTAGCCTAAGCTAAATAGTGAGACCCTGTCTCAAAAACACACACAAAAAAGCTATTACTGTATGTATTTGACACAGTTTTTAAAAATCAGACTTCTAAAAGTACTATCACTTATACATTGTTCAATAACCTAAGGTTCGTGTCACAGTTCTTGCCATACTCCTTTAAAGTACCACATGAGCACTAAGTTAACATGATAGTGTTCTACACAAAACATTCCAGTTAATGATGAACCACATATAGAATATATGACAGTATGCACCTCAGCCTAGGTTTGTGTGTGCATTCTATGATGTCCAAATAGCAGTAAAGTCTTGGAATAACACATTACTCAAATATTTCTCTACAACATTATGCAACATATGGCTTCACTGTAAATGCCAGCAGTGCTACAAAAAACTAGTTTGGACCATTGGATAGAAATTATTCTGCTCTCCAAGTTTATCCTTTTTGGTTTTTCATGTATGCACTGCCACCATGCCCAGCTTATCCTTTTTTTTTTTTCTTGGTACCAGGGATAGAGCTCAGGACCTTGCACTTGCGAGACAGATGGCAGCACCACTGAGCTAAAGCTCTTATCCTTTTTTTTTTAAATCATGCTTATTGAGGTATAATTTTCATATAGTAAATTTTACTTCTCTTGGCGTGTACCCTTGTATAAATTACTGTTTTGCAGTGCTGAGGTACAAGTTTGACAAATGCATAGCATCATATAACCACTTCCATAATCAGATTGCAGAATAGTTGAGGCCCCCAAATTCCCTCATATTTCTTTATAGTCATTCTCTTCTTTTACCCAGAACCCCTGGCAGCTGCTGTCTCTATGGTTTTGTCTTTTCCAGAATGGCATATAAATGGAATAGTATTGCTAATTGCTTCTTAATCTGAACAACACTTCATACAATTTTAAAATTCAGACTTTTTCCCAAAATGAACAGATTTCATCACTTTCTTTAGTGACGGTTCTAGTGGAGTCATGTTTTTAGGAGGAAAAAATGGTCTTTTTTCCTGGCCAGTGCCTTCTTGTTTTTCCTGGCTACTTTTAAGTTTGGATTTGTGTACATGCTGTGTACACCCTATTCCTCATCTACTTAGCATTAATGCTGCACAGTTCACCTAAGACAGTCATTCTCTGAAGATATTTTAGATTTATAGATTGTCCTGTGTTGGGTTTGATCAACAGTTCGAACAGCTCAGAATTAAGTGTTTTCTTAAAAGTGAAATAGCAAGTCCCGCTGTGATGACTTAGTGAAACCCTGTCTCAGAATAAAAAATTTTAAAAGGGTTAAGGATGCAGCTCAGTGCAAAAATCCTTGGTTCATCCTTCAGTACCACCTAAATAAATATATATTGCTTCTAGTAAAATATTAGCCAAATAGACATACAAGTTTTTATTTGATAGTCTAGGTCAGAGCTATCTTTCGTACTTTCACAAATGAGGGAGTGTGGGAGGTATGAAAAAAACTCCCTCACAAAACTAGGGTGCCACAGTAGAGGGGTAGAGATGTACACAGCTTACTCTCTGAGCTGTTTCATATATGTAAATACTAAAAGGAGGACATTTTAAAATCACAGTATAGTATCTACGTACCATTATCTAATGGTACTTTTGACATTCCTGGAGCTATATCTGTTCTCTCAATCCCATGTGAAGATAACAAGAGAGTACCATATCCTAATTTACAGAAACCCAAGAGAAACCCAAGGATTCAATGGTGATTAATCTCTGAATATTTTGTGAGAGATTTATATGTTAACTTACTTTATAGACCTGATTTATTATCTTTGTCATGCTAGTGATGTTTCCAGATGAAAGAAAATGTCTCAAGTTACAAAAAGAATCTTTTTGTTTTGATTGGTGTATTGAAGTTTATGGGGTTTAACAATTTGAAATAGACAAACGCTATCTCTTTCCAACCACTCTCAGCTTTGAATATAATCTTTTTTTTAACCTTTTCTCATGACCTTTTTTTAAGGTTATGAAAATGACTCTGTAGAAGATTTGAAGGAGATGACTTCAATATCCTCTCGAAAAAGAGGTAAAAGAAGGTACTTCTGGGAGTATAGTGAACAGCTTACACCATCACAGCAAGAGAGGATTCTGAGGCCATCTGAATGGAACCGAGATACCTTGCCAAGCAATATGTATCAGAAAAATGGCTTACATCATGGTAAGGGAGAGTTGCTGTTGAATATTTATTGTCATTTTATTTATTTACTTTTAAATTTTATTTTATTTTTATTTATTTATTTATTTATTTTTTTTGGTACCAGGGATCGAACTTGGAACATTGCGCTTTCAAGGCAGGCAGCATCATCACTGAGCTAAATCCCTGGCTTAGTGTCATTTTAAATAGAGAGACTGAGCCATAATTTTTACTCCATGTACTTGGGTTTTTAGCCCTTTGTAGCCAGCTAGAAAGGGAAATAGTAGAGCTGTTGTATGTGCTATGACTGCTCTTTGCCCATAGATAACTTTTACCAGTGTCAAATGCCATCACCTAAGCAGAAGGAAGGGAAGTATAAACATTTATTTCATGTCTAGTACCTTCTTATTCTACTTACTCAACTCTGGAAAGGGCCAGGAAGCTGCTGAACTGTCACAGTTGCTGTAAGACTGAGGAGTATGCAAATGGGCTGCAGCCTCCCTTTCTTCCATTTTTCTCCAATCCTCAAAGCTAACTGTAAAGGAGGATTTTGGAATATAGAGAAAAGGTGGGGAAAAGAAAAGAAATCATAGTTGTGGAAAAAGGAGTGATAAAGGTGGACATGATGGCACATACTTGTAACCTCAGTATTCTGAAGCAGGAGGATTGCAAGTTCAAGCCCAGCTTGGGTAACTTAGTGACTTAGCAAGACCCATCCTGTCTCAAAATAAAAAAGAGCTAGGGATGTAGCTCAGTATGAAGGCCCTGAATTCAATCCGCAGTACTGAGGGAGTGAGGAGTGGGGAGAGAGGAAAGCAAAGGAGGTAAGAGAGGCCATAGTAGGAATCATGAGATACTCATAATCGTAGGTAGGTTAAGGTTTGAATTGTTATCCTAGAGAGTTATGATTAAGTAGATTTTTTTTTCCACAAATGCTATTTTTATATTAATCCGAAGTCTTTACCCAAAAAGGCAGAGGGGGGAAGTATTAGTTAAGTATCATGCTCAATAAACAGTTTAGTATTTACTTATGCTACAGATTCAAGTTGCTAAGCATGTTTGAGGCTAGGAATTATATCTAAGGTTTGTGCCTCAGTTTCCCTGTCCATCAGCACCCAGATCCTGTACTGTATTACCTTCCAGTGAATAATTATGAAATTTTTACATCCTGTTCAATTTTCTACCAAAAATGATAAACTCAATGAATAATTCTAGGTAGCTTGTGAAAGTTCTAGGAAAGGACAGTGATGGCTAACCTTTTAGAGCTTTCAATAGTACAAACAGCCAGCTGTGGCATATATGCTGTAGGTTCACCACTACTGCTATAGAACTTCAGAGGACAGAACCATCCCCTTTCCCTGGAGTGATATAGGGGAAGACCACTGGAGTGTTCTGTAATGTTATTTACCAAAGCAGCCAAAGAAGAGCTTTCAAACAAGGTGGTCGTTATTTGTTGAATTTTTGATCCAGCACAAAAATGTATCTGTTTGACAGTTTTTTAGTTTCAGCATCAAAACATTTTTGGGCAAAATACCTAAACTGCCTTCTGGACCAAATATTATATCCTATCCCTGATTTTTGTGTACACTTGCACTCCAGTCTGAGATTTTTTGTTGTTGTTTTTGTAGTACCTGGGATTGAATTTAGTACCTTGTGGCAGGCATGGTGCCATTGAGCTAAATCCCTGACCTCCATTCTGAAATTTGAGCTGCTTAATTCCATGAAAGGAATTAAGAATCTATGGTACTAGGGTTAGAAAACTAGGAGTAAAAAAGGACTTGGGAAAATTTAGAACTGTGAAATAGCATCCCCCACCTTTGTTTGTGGTGCTAGAGATGGAACCAAGAGCCTTGCATATGCTAGGCAAGTGCTCCACCACTGACATACACTGACATACACTGACATACAACTACAACCCATCCTCATTTTTTTCAGCCACACGTGAAAAGATAGAAAGAGGCTAGCCCTTCTAGGTTGTTAAACATACTAAGACTAGAAACGTCCCAAGACTCTTTTTTTTTTTTGGTATCAGGGATTGAACTTGGGCCCTTGTGCTTACAAGGCAGGCAGCAAAACCACTGAGCTAAATCCTCACTCCGTTTTTTTTGTTTTAAGACAGGGTCTTGTTATGTAGTTTAGGCTGGCCTCAAATTTGCATTGATCCTCCTGCCCCCCCCCGCCCCCACTCCGAGTGCTGGGATTATATGCCTGAGCCACCACGTCTGGCAAGAAACTGTGGTGACTATGGAAAATGTATCTTTTGTTCACACAAATGAGCTAACTTTAACTTCTTTTAAACTGTCTAAAGGAAAATATGCAGTAAAGAAGTCACGGAGAACTGATGTAGAGGACCTGACTCCAAATCCTAAAAAACTACTCCAGATAGGCAATGAGTTACGGAAGTTGAATAAAGTGATTAGTGACCTGACTCCAGTCAGTGAGCTGCCCTTAACAGCTCGGCCAAGGTCAAGGAAGGAAAAAAATAAGCTGGCTTCCAGGTAAATGCTAATAATGTTTACTCATGTGAATAAAGTCTAGGTGGTGAAGTTAGATTCTAAGTTTTAATAGAAGAGGTGTTCTTAAACCATTATTCAAAAATAAAAGTTTTCTTCTATAAATACTACAATAAGAGTATTATACTTTTCCTTTGAAGCGTATTACACTTTTCCTTTGAAGGTAAAACGTGTTTTATACTCCCTAGAAAAAGTTTTTGAAAGGAAAACAATGGATTCAGCTGCAACTGCCATATAGTATAACAATGAACATTTTGCAGCTTTATTTTTCATTTACTTTTTTAGTGCATCAGGTTTATTGAGGTATCATTTACAATAAAATTTACCTTGCTAATTATGAATTTACAAACATAACCAGTCATATAACTACCATCATAATAAAGATACTGAATATTTTCATCACCTTAAAAAATGATGAAAGCAAACCTCTTTCCCACCCTCAGCCTCTCACAACCTCTAATCTCTTTTTCGTCTGCCTTTTCTGGACTGCGGTATATGGAATGTACTGTGTGTGTCCTTAGAATCAAGCTTCTTCCACTTAACATGAGGCATTTGAGATCCATCCATGTCACTGTGTGGAGTTCTTGTTCCTTTTTTTACTGAGTAGTACATACCTTCATTAGGGGTATAATATATACTTTATCTGTTTGCCAGTTGAACAGCCTTTTTGAGTTATTGCCAGTTTTTGGCAAGTATAATAGAAGCACCATAAACATTGAATTGGAGGAGTTTGTGTGAACATAAGTTTTTATTTCTCTTAGATAAATGCCTAAGTGTGTATGTTCAACTTTATACTGCCAGACTGTCTTCCAGAGTAGTTGTGTGTTCCATTTTACATTCCCACCGGAACAAATGAGTGTTCTACAGTACTTACTTTACATCCTCTATAATAGTTGATATCATCAGTTTTTGTTTATTTTCAGTTTTTTTAGTCACACTAATAGGTGTGTACTTGTTATAGCTTTATTTTTAAATGTGTGCTTAATTTTAAAAATCAATTTGGATAAATGATTTGAACATGTTTTATAACTGATCTTTGGTAAACATCAGTATGCAGTGATTTTTGGTTACTATTAGAGAATTTGTAACAGAAGCAAAAAGAAGTATATTCTGCATATTTAAAAGAAAAGTGAACTAATAGCGACTTCCTTTTACAGAGCTTGTCGGTTAAAGAAAAAAGCCCAGTATGAAGCTAATAAAGTGAAATTATGGGGCCTCAATACCGAATATGGTAAACCTGAACATTGAAGAATTTGATTAACCTCCTGTTAACTTTGCTGACCTCTCTTGTTCTTTGGTTTTGTTGTTTGCTTGCCCTGCATTTTGCCCAGCCTTCTTTTTGTTGATCCATTCAGAAAGCCACATGCCTACTTTCATTCTTGCCTTCCTCTTAGTGTATGGGTGTCTTATGTCTGAGGCTGCTCAAGCCAATCTCATCACTACAGTCATGAGGTGGTCTGCTTACCATTCTCCTGTTTTATAATTGTGTTGATTACCCAGTTTTGTTTACTTATTTTAATATTTTCCTTGATTTGAATATTTTAACCTTTGTGTGTCTGTGCACTTTTTTTTTTTTGGTACTGGGGATTGAACTCGGGTCCTTGCACTTGCAAGGCAGGCCACCAAACTGCTGAGCTAAATCCCTGCCCCCCCCCTTTTTTTCTTTTGGTACTGGGGATCAAACTCGCGTCTTGGCCCTTGTGAGGCAGGTGGCAGCACCACTGAGCTAAAATCCCGGCCCTGTCTTCTCCCTACATCTTTTGAATTGGAATAGAACCCAGGAATGCTTTTTTTTTTTTGAGACAGGGTCTTGCTTTGTAGATCAGGCTGACCCTGAACTCACTATCTAGCCCAGGGTAGCCGTGATCCTCCTGCCTCTGCTTTCCAGGTCCTGGATTATAGGTGTGTGCCATCATGCCCCACTATGATCCACATTTTTGACATTTCCCAGATTTTTTTTTTCTTCTGACACTCAGGGTTGTATCTAGGGCCTTGTGCATGCTAGACAAGTGGACTACCACTGAGCTACACCCCCCAGTTCTTTCATTTTTAAATTGCTTATCTCTTACTATTACATAAGTAAAGGCAAATTCTTCCATGTTGGTGATATGTTCCAAGTGTTTTGTTTTGTCTTACAGATAATTTATTATTTGTAATCAACTCCATCAAACAAGAGATTGTAAATCGGGTACAGAATCCAAGAGAGGAAAGGGGACCTAACATGGGGCAGAAGCTTGAAATCCTTATTAAAGAAACTCTTGGTAAGAATTTTGGATAAATTCATTAAAAAAATAATAGCATGTAGTATAAGGTATGTGATTCAAGGAGATAGTAAAAGTTCTTTTAGTTTAAGGAAATACTCAAATGTTCTCATTATAGCTATTTCTTTTTTGTTGTGCTGGGGATTTGAATTAGGACCTGACACATCCTAGGTAAATGCTCTATCACTGTGTTATATCCCCAGCTCATATTTGCTCTCTTTTATGAGTAGTTTTGTCTTTTGAGATTTAAGGTTTCTAAACATACACTGCTGATTACTGCAATTTGTAATTTAGACTTAGTCATTGTACAGTTTTAATTCTTAAGAGAGAGAAGTGTTTAGCAACTTTAACCTTTCATAGGATAAAAAGCAGGCTCTGAGCTCTAAGCCTACTTTATACCTTTCTTGACAGTCTCATTTGTTTTGATCAATAATACATTTCACATGATTCTAATAAATGTGGTTGTCTGGTTTCCCATCCCTAAACAGTTTGCACACTATAGCAATTAGAAAGGCAGGCATTCTGAAGTTAGGTCAACTGGTAGTAGGTAGAGAGACATAGACATAAAAATTCTACAGGCCAAGGAGCTTAGCTACCATAGGAGCAAATTATCTTACAGATCAGTAGCATCCCAAAGGCTTTAAAATCCATGAAAATCCAAAGTTAAATTCACAAAGTAAAAGGCCATGTTTGTCTTGAACAAAATCATACTGACACTGAAAACAATTTCACATGAACAGTAGATCCCAGATATTGATATTTTCCTTAACAATCATTTCTTTTCTTTTTCATCTGGTTTACTTAATTACTTCAAGCATGAAGCAAAACAGGAAGCAGTAATGAGTTACTTGACTTTCTTCAAATGCACTGGTACTGTTATGATGTTCTGAGTATTCTTTCAAACCATTTTTTTTTAAGGATTTCAGTTTTTGTTAGATGGAAAGAAGAGTTTAATATAAGAAAAATTATTTTTATCTTTTTATTTTTTTAATTTAAAGCTCTTGTGTGTTGATAAGTTTGTATATTTCCTTTATATTTGTAAATCAGTTTTCTTTGCCTGATATAAAAATCCTTGAGTCATTTTCTTTCCTGGGTATCTTGAGTATGTTTTTCCAATTTCTTCTGCCATAAAGTATTTCTATTGTAAAACTAGTAACTGTACAGTTTTTATGTCACTTGTTTGCTGGTTTTTACCAGATACCAAAATGATCTTTACTTTTTCTTTAAATCTTTGCTATTTTAGTAAGCTATGTTTAAAGTTAGTCATTTAACTTTGATATTCTCACATATGCAGGTGTATTCTTTCAATATGTAGTTTCAGATATTTATTAGTATTTGATTTTCTTTTAGGAACTCATTATCTGCAGGTTGGATCTTCTTTGCCTCTGTTGGTAGTTTCTTTTGCAGTGCAGAAGCTTTTTAATAAGATGAGGTCCCAATTGTTGATTCTTTGTGCTAGTTCCCGTGCTACTGAGGATTTGTTCATGAAGTCTTATCTTATGCCATTGTCTTCAAGAGTTTTACCTAACTTATCTTCCAGCAAGTTTAGTGTTTTTATTTTGATATTTAGATCTTTAATCCACTTGGATTTTAGTTTAGTGCATGGTGAAAGATAAGGGTCTAGTTTTAATCTTTGGCGGTTGAAATCCAGTTTTTCCAACACTGTTAATAAAGAGGCTACATCTTTCCTCCACTGAGGATGGTTGGCTCCTTTGTCAAAGATGAGGTAGCTGAGTACATCCAGAGTTGTTTCTTTGTCCTCCAATCTATTCCGGTGATCCTCCAGTCTATTTCTTTGCCAACACAATAACTTTTTGTTGCTTCACAGAGTCCTCTCTTTTTTCAGTTAGGGTTAAACATGACAGTTTATATTCTGAAATTTCTTCTTCTGCTCCCCTTACCCCCATTTGATCTGGACCATATCTATATTTCATATATTTTCTTCTGTAATGCTCAGTTTTAATGCCAGCCCTACGGGTTTCTTATCAGTGCTGGCTCTCCTGCAAGATCTGATCTGCCAGTTTTCTGAATTCCCAGAGGATTGACTGTGGTCCCCTTCACATCTTACTGTAGGACCTTTGAGTTCAAAATGTCTCACAGATTCAGCTGCAGTTCTTAAGTTGGCCTCTTTTGTTTTCCGTGAATAATAACATATTGACTATTTTAGATTTAATTTATTCTCAGGTCCATTTCTTCCTTTTCATTTATCTCACAAAAATACTGATACCATTGAATAAATAAATGCTGTTATTATTCGAGTCTTTTTTGGTTTTTTTTTTTTTTTGGTACCAGATGTCAAACTCCGGCCCTTGCCCTTGTGAGGCAGGCAGCAGCTTCAGCATCATTCAGGTCTTAATAGCCTTTGATATTTGTCCCCCACCTTTAATGTTCAGGTTCAGAAGAGAGCTTGTCACTTGTCAGTGTTTCAGGAGGTTATTTGATCAGTTTTTGTTTTTTCTTTTGTTTTATGATGATGTTAGGGATTGAACCCAGAACCTTTGCACTTGCTAAGTTGCTAAATTGCCCAAGTTGAGCTCAAACTTGGAAGCATCCAGCCAGAATAATAGGCATGTAGCACCACACTTAGAGCTTTCTTATTATTAAGAGATAGAGTCTTATTTTGTTGCCCGAACAATGCTCTTAACTCCTGGACTTAAGTAATTCTCCTGCTTCAGCCTCCCCACTACTTGGAATTACAAAGCTGTGTGCCACTTGGGCCAGTTATCCATGGATTTGGTTGCTCTGTTTTTTTTGTTGTATTGCTGGAAATTTAACTATAGGCCTTGAATATGCTAGGTAAGTGCTCTAGCATAGTTATATTCCCCTCCTCATTTGCTTGTTTTTATATGAGAAAAAAGGAGATTTAAAAATCTCTGCTGCATACAGTCATCTTTCCAGAATTTCTCTCTGAGAAGCTCAGAGGTGTGGTAGTAGTACTTTGAAAGTATTTAACCTAATAAGAATTTGTTAGAGTACAGCTTCTCTGGAGTCAGTTTTGATCATTTATGTATTCTTAGAAAAATCATCCTCTTCTAGACTTTCAAATTTATTAAAATTGACCTTGTCTTTATTTTTTGATTTCCCCTATATGAGTAGTGCTCCCATTTTCATTCTGTATTTGTATCTGTTATGTTCTTTCTTTTTTCTCTTCTCCCTCCTTTCCACCTTCTTTTCTTCCTTTCTTTGTTTTGTCCTGTACTGGGGGCTGAACCCAGGGTTTCACCCATGCTAGGCAAGTGCTGTACCACTGAGTTACTTCTATACCTTCCCCACCCCTTTTAATACAAAGTCTGGCTGTGTAGTTCAGTCTGGCCTGGAACTCATGGCAGTCCTCCTGCTTCAGGCTCTGTGGTGCTGGGATTACAGACGTTCACCACCATGCCTGGCTCCTTACAGGGCCCTTTTTAATTTTGGAGACAAGATCTCACTAAATTGCCCAATTTGGCCTCAAACTTGTAATTCTGCCTCAGCTGCAGGAATAGCTATGATTACAAGCATGTGCCACCACACTGGGCTTCTTCCTTATTTCTTGACAAGATTAATTGTAGGTTTTTCTACTTCTTGCTCCAAAGAATCAGTTCTTGAATTTACCAGCTTGTCTAATTTCTTGAGTTAACTAAGTTCTTACATTCTTTTAATTCATTTTTGGTCATTAATATAAACAACAAGCTCTTGAAAATTTCTTCTCAGAACTAATGTAATTATTTCTCATAAATTTAATGTGTCATATGTTTTCACCATTTCCCAAGTACTTTGAACTTTTATGTTTGATTTACTTTTTTAAATTAACTTTATTGGTGCATTTTAGATATACATAATGCTAACATTTATCATAGAGTACTTGTACCTGAACATGATATATCTTGATTCTTTTTTCCCCACTCCTCTCCCCTCCCTACAGCACCTCTTCCCCTCCTTATTTACAAAAGCTTTGTTTCCATTTTTTTAAATTTAAAGAGATTTAAAATTTTAAATAAGATAGTAATTTTACTTTTTAGTGGTATTTTTTGTTTTAGTTTGGTTTTGATTTTTTGGGGTTTTTGTGGATACTGGAGATTGAACCCAGGGACTTCACACTGAGGTACACATACCATAAAATATATTCTTAGGTTTTTATGTGTAGTAGTTGAATTTTGTTAATCATTCTGTGAGTGACAAGAGGTATTTAGTTTTAGTTTTGTCATCAGAAGATATGATTTATTTATATGACCTTTCTTGTCTTTTTTAATCACACTGTATAATCCCTTATTAAGGTTTCACTTTTGTGTGTCCTCTGATAATTTGCAGCTTTGTGTTTTTGTCTTGTGGGTTGCATTTTAAGTGTGTGTGTGTGTGTGTGTGTGTGTGTACGTATGTATATATATTTTTTGGTACTGGGGGTTGAACTCAGGTTAAATATAACTTGAAATGTATACTTAATGTTTTCTTTCAGCTTGCCATTTAAGATTTCAGTCCTGCAGACAAATAGAAAGGAATAGTATAGTGAACATCTGCATTTCATTCAGCTCAGTTCACCAGTTGTTGTTTTTTTCTTTTTTTTTTTTTTGAAGCAAAAAATTTATTGGTACATTTTAGATGTACACAGTGATAAGACTTATCATGGGCAATTTGTACCTGTACATGATATATCCTGCCCCTTCCCTTTTTCCCATTCCCTCCCTTCATTCAGCATTTCCATATATAAAAGCTTTGTTTCTATTTTTTCCTTCTGTTTTCACATTTTTGATGTCCCTCCTCTCCCCCTTTCCCCTTCCCATTTGAACATCTTCTTCCCATTTCCAATATCTATTATATGTTTTAGTCCTTATTTACACTTTTGGTTTCTCATACCAGAGAAACAATGTGGTGTTTAAAGATGTGTGCCTGATTTATGTCACTTAAGAGTATGGTCTCTAAGTACATCCATTTAGCTATGAATATCTCAAGGTCATCCTTTTTGTGGCAGAGTAGTACTTCATTGTGTAAAAATCCCATATCATCTTTATCAATTCATTGGTTAATGGACATTTGGGCTGTTTTCCAAGATTTAGCTATTATAAATTATGCCACTATAGATGTGAGTGTGCATATATTGCTGTGATATGATGCTTTTAATTGTTTCAGAAGATACCAAGAAGGGGAGTAGCTGGGTCAAATGGAACCTCTAGTTTTAGTTTTTTGAGGAATCTCCACACTGATTTCCACAGTGATTGCACCAGTCTACACACCCATCAACAGTAAGGAAGCCATTCCTTTTCTCTCCCACAACCTCTCCAGCATTTGTTAGTGGTTGATTTCTTGATAGCAGTCATTCTTTCTGGAGTAAGATAGAATCTCAGCATTTTTAAAATTTTCATCTCTTAAATGACCAGTGATGTTGAACATTTTTTTCATATATTTATTTGTTGTTTTTACTTCATCTGAGAGAAGTGTCTATTCATTTCAGATGCCTGCTTTTGCATTGGGTCTTTAAATTTGGGGTGGGGAGTCTGAATTTTTTTTTTTTTTAGTTTTTTATATATGCTAGATAGTAGTCCTTTGTCTAAGCAATAGTTGGCAAAACTTTTTTCCCATATTATGAGTTCTCTTCACTCAGTTGGTGGTTTCTCTTGCTATGCAAAAGATTTTTGGTAAGATGAGAGGCCAGTTATTGATATTTTGTGACATTTCCTGGGTTTTGTTCATAAAGTCTTTTGTCTACACCAGTGCCTTCCAGCAGACTGTTTCTGTTTTGATAATTAGATCTTTGATCCATTTTGATTTTAATTTAATGCCTGATGAAAGATATGGGTCTAGTTTCAGTCTTCAGCATGTGGTAAACCAGTTTTTCTAGCACCATTTATTGAAGAGGCTATCTGTCATCCAGCGAAGGTGTTTGGCTCCTTTGTCAAAGATATGGCTGAGTATGTCTGGCATTGTTTCTGCATCTTCTTTTTTGGGGGGTACTAGGGATCAAACTTGGGACCTTGCGCTTTTGAGGCAGGTGGCAGAACCACAGAGTTAAATCCCCAGCCCTCTGAGTCTTCTATAATCTGTTTCATTGATCCTGGGGTCTTTTTTTTTTTTCAAAAAACCATGCTGTTTTTTATCATAGTAGCTTTGTAGTATAATTTCAAGTGAGGAATTATGATGCCCCCTGCCTTGCCTTTGTTGCCCAGAATTGCCTTTGCTATTCTAGATCTCTTCTGGTTCCAAATGAACCAGTTGTTAATATTTTGCTGTTTGTTTTTTGTTTCTGTCTGTTTATGGATTTGGTAGGGGAATATCTGCAGGTGACTTATAGATGTAATTTGTTATTCCTAGCTATTTTAGCTCGTATCTTTTGAACAAAGACATTCTCTTCATTCACAAGATTGATATTATATCCAAGTACTTGAACATTGATAGAATACCATATAGACTCTGGAGTCTATATTTACATTTCCCCAGTTGTATCAGTATTTCCTTTTATAACTTTCTTGTTTATGATCCATTTGAGGATCACACATTGCATTTCATTGTCTCTTCTTTTGTCTCCTTTTATCTACGTCAGTTTTGGGGATTTTGTTTTCTCCTTAATTAAAAATCCAGGTGGCCAAGCATGGTGGTGCTTGCCTGTAATCCCAGCACTCAAGAGGCTGAGGCAGGAGGATTGCCACAAGATCAAGGCCAGCCAACCACATAGTGAGTTCAAGGCCACATCAAATTGCATAGTGAGATCCTGTCTTAGAAAAAAAAAATCCAAGTGATAGATCTTCCAAAATGTTTCAACAATGAATTTATCTTATTCATGACAAGATGCAGTTAAAATATTTAGACAGAATTTTTAATATATCCTTCTTATTCTGTTTCGACATTTTTTCTTAACACTTATTTAT